TTTTTCTGGACGATATCAGAATGATGTTATTCCAGGCTGAAATTCGGTACATTTATTATGTTTTTGGTTGTGAATATCACTGTGATTTCAGATTTTGAGCAGACGAAGTCGTTATCGAAGCAGACGCCGTCAAAAGGATGTCAAAAATGTCAAAAATGTCAAATGACAAGAATAAATATTCCAACTTGCTTTTCTTATCAAATGATAGACAATGAAAATATCTACAGGTTTTCTTGAGAGAAAAAATCAGCAGACGGCGGTCCAGAGCCAGCAGACGCCCATTTGTCATGTGAAGTGGGTCCCTTATTTTTTTCTGGACGATATCTGAATGATGTTATTCCAGGCTGAAATTCGGTACATCTGTTATGTTTTTGGTTGTGTATATCAATGTGATTTCAGATTTCTAGCAGACGATGTCGTTATCGAAGCAGACGCCGTGAAAAATATGTCAAAAATGTCAAAGATATGTCAAATTTGTCTAATGACAAGAATAAATATTCCAACTTGTATTTTGCATCGAATGATAGAGAATTAAAGAATCTACAACTTGCCACTGTAGAAAAAATCATAAGACGGCGGCACAGAACCGGTAGACTCCCATTTGTCTTGTTAAATATCGCTAATAATTTTTCGGACGATACGTTAGCGACGTCATTCCAAGCTCAAACATGGAGCATATGGTATTTTTTTGTTTGAAACATTCACAATATTTCAAAATTTTGATGAAAGTAAAAGTCTTCCTCCTCTTATATGCAGAAAGGTTTCCAAATTATTGAAAATTGAAAAATAAATAGGATACACATTCAGCCAAACAGAGTTCAATTAACTAGAACTAGATGAATATGATTTAATTAAAGATGAACATAACTTTTATAATGAAATGTAGAAAATTTAAGAAAAAAATAACAGAACATACAGAACATAACAAATGAAACTCATGGAAATATGCCATTAACTACTACTCATCATCGTCGCTACTGTGAGCGTCTTCATCAGATTCAACTTCACTTGAATCATCGGCAGCTACTAGTACTTCATTTAGGTTTTGCGGAAATTGTTCGCTCTCGAACCAATTTATTTTATATTCGCCGTCTTCTTTAACCCATCCATTTCCTTCCGGGTTAAAGAAATTTGGTTTCTCACTAAAAGCAAATTTCCAAATAGCTGCAATTTGATTTGTACGTCGTATTTTGCGAATCAATGTATCCTTACAAGGAGGGATACGACTGGCCTCAAAATTCTTGATACCCGCGAAAGGAGATTGATTCGATTTTGGCTTGTAGCAATCCAAGAATATTTCGAACCGAGCCTTATTGACGCTGGATAATTTTCGGTTCCCATAAATTTCTCAAACGTATTCTTCTATATCTGGAGAAATAGTACTTTATTCAATTATCGAATTACTATTGAATATCGATGCATACCTTCAATTGTTTCATGAGACAGCGTTTCACTCTCTCCCATTCTACTGAAAGCTTCTTGGAACTTTTTGCTCTTCTCTAGTGATTCGAAAGGAGTCAGCTTTGCTTTTCTGGCAAATGAGGCTGTGTAGTCACAACATGTGAAGGCGTGAAATGCTGGTAGAGCATTACACAAACTGGTACCCAGAGTGAATGCGATTTTATTGATGTCGACCAACCTCAGGTTGTTCTTTGACAAAGTACCACATTCTGTTAGATGTTATGATGTTTATGTTATATAACCCTCTGTATAATATAATATATAATTATGATCATGTCTGTAGATGATAACAGTTGGAAAAGCTTGTTGATACTTCTGTCAGATTGAGAGAATTGTCAATAGAATATATTCTCGAATACCTACCGTTGTATAACTCATAACACATTCCATCCATATTTGAAGTGATAAAGCCATATTTTTGCTGCAAAATTAGGTAACATGATTGACCAGTACATTAAATTTAGAGTTATCAATTTGAACTCACCAAGAAGCTCTCTGAAACACACAAACACAAAATCTTCCAATAACAATCACTACAATGTTCTTGATGTCAAAGAAAATTGAGCAATACTACCACTATTTTGAATCAACGACCTTCACACGAGAAGTACAGGGCTAGTTTTATTAATGTGAAGCCCCCTTCATCTTCTTTGTTTTCTATCCATTCGAGAAGATTCAAAACTGATTTTTTTACGATATTTTATATTGATTTCGATCATATTGAGAGAATGTGGCAATATCTCTTCAAATATAGAGGGTATACAGAAATATATTGATTTTTGTATATGGAATGCATTGTATATTTTGATAGATGATGATCCTCCTATATATATATATGTTTGAAATCAGGATGATTTGGGAAATTCAAATTTATCGAAATATACAGGGCGTTTCATTTGAAAAATATATTTATTTTTGTATACCCTGTATATTTGAATAGATATTGCATCATTGTCAAAATGAGTGAAAACTGTTTGAAAAATTGTATAAAATCAATTTCAAAATTTTTCGAATGGGTGGAAAACAGAAAAGATAGAGGAGGGTTCACATTTATAAAACTAGCCCTGTACATTAATTTTCTAGTGTCCGTTCGTGAAAACAAAAAACGAATGAGAAACACAATTCACACCCCACTCTCCAGAGCGTCGCACGTGCAGGGTCGTCTTCGAAGCACCGATGATTCAGTAATAAAGTTATCTACAGAAAATGTTTTGAATACGTCTTCCTCAAAACAGATAGAGTAGTAAGTGAATATTTCATTCCATTTGTATACAGATATAGATTGTAATAAGTCGTAGGTATATAGACAGAAGTTGAGAGATATTCAACAAGACAAATGGGCGTCTGCCGGTTCTGTGCCTCCGTCTTATGATTTTTTCTTCAGAGGAAAGTTGTAGATTCTTTGATTCTCTATTCGTCTGCTCGAAATCTGAAATCACAGTGATATTCACAACCAAAAACATAACAAATGTACCGAATTTCAGCCTGGAATAACATCATTCAGATATCGTGAAGAAAAAAAATAAGGGAACCAGTTCACATGACAAATGGGCGTCTGCCGGCTCTGGACCGCCGTCTGCTTTTTTTCTCCCAAGAAAACTTGTAGATATTTTCATTGTCTATCATTTGATGCGAAATGCAAGTTGGAATATTCATTTTTGTCATTTGACATTTTTGACATATTTTTGACGGCGTCTGCTACGATAACGCCCCCGTCTGCTCAAAATCTGAAAGCACAGTTTTATTCATAATTACAAAGGGAACGTTTGTCCAGATTTTCAGTCTGGAAGAACTACTTTAATCTATTGACAAAAAAATTGACCTTTCAACACCCCCTCCTGAATTAATGCCCCCACTTGAAGGTGGCAGACGGGTGGTGTTATACTTACTATTGTGGGGTACTTCAATCAAAACCATGATACCTTTGGAATATTCACTTTAACCATTTTTCACGCGAGCTCTTGGTCTATTAGACATAATTATGAGATTATACAGGGTGATTCAGGTTTTGAGATAGAATTGAAATGGGTGATAGATCTCATCATTTCAATTAAAAAAGTTGATCTTACCATGAGTCCGATCTCGATCACTAGCGGATCTACAGGGGGTCAAAGTTTGAATATTTTTTTATACTAATTAAAATATCTCGTTAACTTTCAATTTGAAATTTGGTGTGGTTAATACTTTTCAGAAATTTACAATTTTAAGCATTTTAGAGATTTTTCAAATCTACAGGGTAATACGCTTTTGAAGGTATTGGCTTCTATATCCTTCCCGAACTTCTTCATAGTACGCCTCTAAAATTTTCCAGTTACCAAATAGGGTGGATCGTGCAATTTCGAGGCTTTTATTGTTCATCAATTTTTTTCAGAAACAGACCGTTTTCGAGATAAATAAGCATATCCGATCTGAAACATGTTGATTTTATCTACAGTGTGACCCACTTCCAATGGAAACACCCCTGTATCTTACGTAATCGTTGGGTGAGGGTCCTGAAATTTGCTGGAGCGAGAGATATACCATAAATGCACTCTTTGACCAAGTGGGGTCATTTTCAGTGATATACACTGCTCGCCAACAGCCATGGAACCACCCCAATTTCCGGAAAATGATATTAGGAAAGGTTGAAAATCACTGCGGATCCGGAATCAGGACGCCCAATCAACTGATTATTCATATTTTTCCTGGAAAATGTTCAGTTCTGAAGAATTAAAGTTCGTCGCACTTTATACGGAAGCACCCCCGTATCTTACGTAATTGACTTTATCTTTGGATTTTTCCTTGCTCCTGCAAATTTCAGAACCCTACCTCAATAATTACGTAAGATACAAGGGTGCTTCCGTGAAAAGTGCGACGATATTCAATTTTCCAGAACAGAAAATTTCCCAGGAGAAATATGAATAGTTAATGAATGGGCTTGTATCACGAAAAAAATTATTCCATAATTCGATAGAACTCACCCAAACTAGCTCACCACCGCAAACCGTTTCTTACGAAAGCGTAGAAGTCTCACGTTACGTTTTTATTAAAATAGACAGTTGCAACTGTCTAAATAGACAGTTGTAACTGTCGATGAAAATAGACAGTTGTAACTGTCTAAATATACAGTTGTAACTGTCTAAATAGACAGTTGTAACTGTCTAAATAGACAGTTGTAACTGTCTAAATAGACAGTTGTAACTGTCTAAGTAGACAGTTGTAAGTGTCTAAATAGACAGTTGTAACTGTCTAAATAGACAGTTGTAACTGTCTGAATAGACAGTTGTAAACTGTCTAAATAGACAGTTGTAACTGTCTAAATAGACAGTTGTAACTGTCTAAATAAACAGTTGTAACTGTCTAAATAGACACTTGCAACTGTCTAAATAGATATCTATAGACTAGTAAATACTGGCTCCCCTGGGCTCTGTCCGACCTACAATAACAGTACAACATAGGACAAATAAAAACACGTGCTGATAACTATTATAATTAACTATTACGAGCTGTGTGTATTGCGTGTATAACGATGGTGGTAGTTTTTCTATAGTAAAAGTAAAATGGATGATGGATTAATCTTAATCAGATTTTATTTCTGTTTGGGTTTCCAACAAACTGAAATTTTGGCCAGTTTGGCTCTCAATCATGATATCAACATTAGTTTAAGCACTCTCAAACGAAAATTACACAAATTGGGATTGTTCAGAAGGAAGAATTTCACGGACATCCTAGAAATTCAACAATTCATTATAAAAAATACAAAAACTCATGGACAATTACATGGATACCGATGGATGCACCTTAAATGCCTTCAGAATAATTTAGTAGTTACACAAGACATGGTTCGTCTTCTGCTCCAAATTATTGATCCCGTTGGTGTAGACAAACTATTCTACAATATGACGATTTTACGTTTGCAACGTACATCGATGCTTCAATCACCCGTAATTCCAATAAAATGGTTATCCAAATTCCAAATTATTCCAAATGCTTTTTTTAAATAGACAGTTGCAAGTGTCTATTTAGACAGTTACAACTGTCTATTTAGACAGTTACAACTGTCTATTTAGACAGTTACAACTGTCTATTTAGACAGTTACAACTGTCTATTTAGACAGTTACAACTGTCTATTTAGACAGTTACAACTGTCTATTTAGACAGTTTACAACTGTCTATTTAGACAGTTACAACTGTCTATTTAGACAGTTACAACTGTCTATTTAGACAGTTGCAACTGTCTATTTAGACAGTTACAACTGTCTATTTAGACAGTTGCAACTGTCTATTTAAAAAAAATCGTAACGTGAGCCTTCTACGCTTTCGTAGTTTCTTGCTGTGAGCTCTCTACGTTTTACAAAAAATTATTGAAATCCCCGATTTTTCCGACCTGCGAAAACGAGGCGATGATGTGACGTCAAAACCCTAATACTGAAACAAGACTATTCCAGACAGATATGAATGATACATGATTTCTGACAGAGTGAATTAGCGCGAGATCACAGTTGAAAGAATTAATATATCAGTTACCTCAGTCTCCGTTGAACGTTTGGTATTTTCTTTTAACTATGGTGAGATGAGGTTCTTACGTCATAAGAGGGTCCGTTTCCATGAGGTACTATTATTTATGTCCAAAAATAAAACATTCCACTTAATTTCTCGATCGAATTATGTCGTCAATCATTATTCATGTATAAAAGGAACATTATAAACATGGTTTGAGTTAAAAGTTCTACTAGTGGAAAATTCAACCGTCAGGAAAATCGTAGGCTTCATCAGAAGTCTAGGGTTAGAGGACCAAAACTAGATAGGGGTAATCACAATAGATCTTCTAGGTCGCAGTGATCAAGAGGTCTCCCATCCTATACGACCCATCTACAATCTACAATCTACAATCTAAAAGTTCTATTAAGATGTACACGCTCATTGGGCATCCTGATTCCGAATCCGAAGTGATTTTCAACCTATTTTGACTCCTAATATCATTTTCCGGAAATCGGGGTGGTTCCATGGCTGTTGGCGAGCAGTGTATATCACTGAAGATGACCCCACTTGGTCATAGAGTGCATTTTAGGTATATCTCTCGCTCCAGCAAATTTCAGGATCCTCACCCAACGATTACCTATGATACAGGAGTGTTTCCATTAAAAATGGGTCACACTGTACATTTGTGTCTTACATTTTATTCTCGGACAAAATTAGTTAATAATAATGGACTAATGGAAAAATTATCACATTCCGCAAGAAGATTCTTCCCGACAAGTTGAATGCTATTAAATTTTTTAATTTTTTTTCATGATATTGAAAATGATACCATCAGGATGAGAAATATGGATACATTTGGATGGGGCTTGACCTTTTCCACGTCCTCGTTGCACTGGTCGGTTAAAGGCAACCTAACCTTCTACCCTCTGTATCGCCGCTAGTGACTAAAATTTGAATTTGGTACATTTTATTGCATTGAGCGAATCATGATAGCCAAAATTAACATGTTATTACACGGATATGCTTATTTCGAGGCTTATTTATTCTGAAAACGGTGCGTTTCTCCGTTTCTCGATTGAGATGCAGATTAAGTCCTTGAATTGAACGATCCACCCTTTTTGGTAACTGGAAAATTTCAGAGGCGTACTACGAAATAGTTTGGGGGGAAATAAAGAAGCCTCAAAAATGTACAACCCTGTGGATTTTGAAAATCTTCGAAATGCTCCATACGATGATCTTCTAGAAAGTATCGACCATACCAAATTCCAAATTGATATCTTCAGAAGAGAGCAAGATATACAGGGTGTCCGCTGAAAGGAGGTCAATCCATTAACCATATATTCCTTGAACAAAAACAATATGGGTTTCTGGATACCATTTTTCATTTTAGCCCATCATATTCGATATACAGGGTGGCAAAGTTGGAAATTGAAAAAAAAAATTTTCTAATTACTCGCGTATTTGATAAGATAGCAATCTCAAAATTGGTTCATTACTTCAGCACATCGTGCGAGGAACACAAAACAGAAAATAACTGTCAAATATTCAAAATACTGGGGGTCCAGTACACACTTAACCCCATATTTTTTTTGTAGGTTCGCTAATGACTTCCTATCTATTTTTCCTCAAGTGGTCAATCATTTTTCAGTATTTTTCGTTTCCTGTAAAATTTCGATAAAATCATTTGTTTTTAAGATAATTCGAAAAGTACTGGTTATTGTTTGATGTCTATGCGGCTTACGGTAATCTCATATTACTCCTATTTATTTCGTTGAAATTGGAAGAGGGCGTAACTTTTTACGTACGAAAAGGTAAATATGGAAATACCGGGTGCTCAGAGCGAATGTATTGAAATTATTTTTACAAAAAAAAATTAAAAAAAAGTGAGGACACGTGTCGAATAAAATTTGTTTGCCAATCGAACAGCGTGAATTTTTTTACGGGGTCAAATAAAAAAGAACGTTTTTTTGGAATTTTGGGTAAATAATGATTCTAGGAGGATGGGGGGGGGGGTCGATTGACGAGCCTCTCCTTTTAAAGGATTATTGAATTGATTTTCGGGAACGGCAAATTTAAAAAAAAAATGTTAAAATCGGTTTGAGCGGTTTTTGGTGATGCGGAATTTAAAAACAATATTTTCGAGCCTCTTCCCCACCGTATGGTATGTCGGGTGCGAACGAACGGGAAATAAAATCGGAAGAAATAAAAAAAAAATGTTTTCGGAAATTTTTTGCTGAAATTATGATATTCATGATTTTAATAGCTACTTGATGAAAGAAATAGCAAATCAGGATTGTCTATGGATGTATGAAAGATTTTGTGCATAAGCCACATATTTTTCAAAGGCTATGATTTTCTTTAATCGAAAGGGCTCGCATGTGTATTCAAAAAATTCATATCGAGCAATTCATAGACCTGTTGAATTTCTATGAATTTTTTTTTCGTCAAAATTATCTGAATGCATTCGCTCTGAGCACCCGGTATTTCCATATTTACCTTTTCGTACATAAAAAGTTACGCCCTCTTCCAATTTCGACGAAATATATAGGAGTATGTGAACATTATGAGATTACCGTAAGCCGAATAGGCATCAAATAATAACCAGTACTTTTCGAATTATCTTAAAAACAAATAATTTTATCGAAATTTTACAAGAAACAAAAAATACTGAAAAATGATTGAACACTTGAAGAAAAATAGATAGGAAGTCATTAACGCACGTACAAAAAAAATTTGGGGGTAAGTGTGTACTTGACCCCCAGTATTTTGAATATTTGACAGTTATTTTCAGTTTTGTTTTCCTCACACGATGTAACTCTTTGTGCTAAAGTAATGTACCAATTTTGATATTGATATCTTATTAAATACACGAGTAATTAGAAAAAAACAATTTTTAATTTCCAACTTTGACACCCTGTATATCGAATATGAAGGGCTAAAATGAAAAGTGGCATTTAGAAACTCATTTGGTTTTTGTTCCAGGAATATATGATGGATTAACCTCCTTTTAGCGGACACCCTGTATTTCAATTTATAAAATAAAATAAAGATCGGACACATATTTATACACACTTTTTCAATCGGAATGATAAGATTCATCATCCATTTCTGTTCGTACCACGAAACATGAATCACCCTCTTTTCAGAACAGAGTGGTATTTTGCTTCACTATTTCGAGTTAAAGAAGCTTGAAAAGCATTTATCATAAATTAGTGATTCATTTTGACAAGCACCGTCGATAATTATTTTATGCCAAACTGACAGACTTTGCTTCGCTATCCATGGTTACATACAGACTTTGCTTTGCTTTTCATGGTTACATTGTTGAAAATATCAACTATGAATCAAAATATTTTTCCAAACAGCAAATCTGAGATATTGACTATATGAAAAGATATGACACACGCGGTATATTGGACACCTTGTATGTTGAGTCCATTAACCTGTAACCGAGGTACATTTTTCAATTGTTGCATCATAAACATAATGAAACCCTAGCAGTCGAGGTTTAACATTATTTGCACAAGCTTCGCCAGCATTTTTTTTGCAAAATTGCTGGAAAATATTCCGAACGCTATAACGCACGTTCTTCGAGCTAAGGCTACATTCGGAACGGTCGTACCTACCAGATTCAGTCGAAGTTTCACACTCCGAGTGCTCGGGAATTAGGGGTACCACCTATAGTCCCTTCGACGGTTTTTTAGGGACTTTATTCCAATTGCGACTTATTGGAACTAATCTATTTGTGTTAGTGACAGTGATTTGGCAGCGATGGGTATCTTGTTCAAATCGTTATTCGTAATGGATCTCCAAGTAAGTTTTTTTATTTCAATTTCAAAAGTATTCGCTAGCACAGTTCCATTTCGTTATATTTAAATATCTTCAACAGTATTGATATTCTCAGATATGATTATGAACATGGATATATACAGGGTGATCCACGGTGGATGGCCTATTACCCAGTAAACACACACACGTCAAAAAAACGTAGTAAAATTACCACAACGGTCGGTTGAAATAACGTTCAATGGAATCTTTTCATCACGTTGAATCAACGCGAAAATGTCGCTGGCATCCACGTTATTTTCAACCAGTACAAAAATGTATATTCAACCACTGATTTCAACGTAAATATCTATTTGAAACCGGTGGGAACTGCCCGGTTCTCAACGAAACTTTTCACGGGGAATAAACGTGGCATATCAACGTTTGAACAAGTTGATAAAAAAGTATATTTCAACATCCACTTCGGATCAATTTTTAACCGACGAATTCTCGGTTTCTCGAACGTTTCTTCAACGTTTTAGTCAGATTATTTTTTTTTCGTTTTTTTTTGTGTCTACAATCATTTTATCAACATTCTCATAATTACTATAATAATTATTATACCTCACTAACCTGCTATGTTGTTGTCCATGTATTTCCCTTTCCTAAGCTGTTCCACTTTCTTCTCAGTGAGGTGCCTATCTCTCCGTATCCCTATTTGAATATGTTCGACTACTCGTATTTGTACCTAAACTC